CCTGTTCTTTCATCACCCCACGCCTGTCGAACCAGGAAGCATGAAAGCTTTATTCTTCAAGCAGCACGGAGACAATCACATTTGCTGCAGGAGGAGATCCAACACAGTCTGACTAGTTGATGTGTTACGCGTTGCAGGCTGTTGTCGCAGAGCACATTCTCGGTGCGTGGACTGTGGTCTGTACCTCATGGCCAGCAATGAGTGTAGACACGCCGGCTCACACACAGCGACTCCCAGCTTCTGCATTTAGCAGTGTGCAGGTTGACCCACATTTGAAAGACTGCGAGTTCTGCTTAGGTTACCCCATGGGTCGCATGCTTCTTCGCAAACCGGAGGCTCGGCGTAGCCTCCATATCAAATAAAGAAACGAACTGCGGCTCAGTGACACTGGCTGCTGACCCCGTCGCAACTTCGTGCAGCACAGCATCTCCAAGTTTCACTCCATCTAAATGACGCTTCGAGCGGAAGTCTTTTGATTCGTCGACGCCAGCGGTAAGCTGGGTGAAGCGCTGTCGATCAGTCCATTCAGCTTCCATATTGAGCCACTTACAGTGGGCCACGTCTGCATCTGTGTAAGTGTACAAGTTGCATCAGATGTGCCTTGGAAACCTTCAGTAGCTTGAAACCACCGGCCATGCAGCTTTAGATTATTTTTGTGAGAAGCATGCAGGATCAGCGGGATGTTTTCCTCTGGTGTGCTGATAAGATCGTGCCTTCCTTGAAACTGGCTGGCGACAGTTATCTTCCGAAGGTCCTCTTAACCCTTCGGGGAAAGGTGTTAGCACATGTTAGCACCTTGAAGGCACGGGGGGGCTGGACTGAGGCCCGGAGGCTTGGACGGCCTCCTAAACCCGATAGAGAGAGGTTTAGGCTCAAGCCACAGGCGGTTCGAGGCCGGCAGGGATCGCTCTCAGTGACCTCTTTCCACACTCTTTTCTTGGCGATCCCCCCTCCCGCGTTCAACCAAGTCCCTTTAATCCCCCTGTACTTCTTTCTTCTGGAGGGTGACCGCAGATGCCTTCTAGGGAACACAGCGGAGAATCGGCGAACCCGCGCGTACTCCGTTGAGCTCTACCTCAGAAGGGGGATGCCGACATCGGAGCTGTAAATCCAGAAGCGCCAAAGCCCGACAGGGATCATTCTGTGTGATTGGCGTTCCTTTGAGCTGTTCAGTTTGTGCAGACATGTGACTCTGACTTGCCGATGCCACCAGGGGCCCTTGAGTCAGGGGAAAAGAGGGTTGAGCCCTGACTTCCGTCGTGTTTCGCATTACAGGAGTGATTGTGGTTGTGCAGTGCAACTGGGACAGCTAGGACTCCCAATCTGCGGAGGACGTTGCCCGGCAAGGTTCAGGTCGAACATGGTTGCTGGATTCGACAGAGACAGCCGAAACAGCGGTCTTGGCGTCAGCGAGCGTGGCTGGACCATGTTCCGTCGAGGTTTTGAGTCTGCGGGGGCACAGTGTCATATTTCGAAGCTTCTGATTCTGTGGAGCTGTTGTTGTCGGGTTGCTCCGCAACACGATTTGCCCCAAAAAGCCTAACAACACAGGTGGGCCCTCTATGCCCTGGAGGGAGAGACAGAGATGGACGACCCCTAAGCCCTGCGGCAAGAAAAAGAAGAGGGAGAGAGCGAGAGGGGGACTACCCCTGCATCTCAACCCTGGCGAAAGACATGGACTGGCGAAAGAAAGAGCGGAGGCAGAGAGCCGGAGAGGGACAAACAGAAAAGAGCACACAGGCGCTTGGCGGCGCTTTGGGGCTTGCAAGCCTTGGAAGTGTTCACTGCAGCGTCTCGGTTGCAGCTAAGGGTGCAATGAAGTCCCGCGTTTACCTGAACATGCCAAGGTCAGCAACGATTATGAAGTGATACTAACGATGCTGGGTACGCTGATGTTCTTCTCCATGCGGCGGGCCCCTCAGGTTCATGAGTTCACCGGGACATACAGAGCGGGGGGGCACAAGCGGGCAGTAGATTTTTTCGAACATAAACTCGAACAACTATACCCTAACTCTCAACCTAGACATGAAGCTTCGGCCCTTAAACGTACAGGCAACTTGCTCAAAGTTATACCCGGTTGTTTGCAAGTTTGTGGGAGGACTTAATTTGACCTTAGAGGGCAGCTGTCTATGCACGTTTGGAAACTTAACGGGTTTTGGGTAATTTCAAAGAGGGTTTAACGCGGTTTCTAGAAGGATTTAAACTCGTTGCCAAAGTCAAGTGTCGTGTTGATACGGTTTATACACCTGATTCGAAACGGGCATTTAAAACGAGATTGTCTCCGAGTTCACATAAACGTTTTTGTGTGAGCGTGAAAACGGTTATGCGTTTCTACAGGACCATTACATGCATTTTCCATGGGTTTTGCACGTACTCATGGGTGTTTCGTCAACGTATACAGTTGTGTCTTAAGCATGTCGAAGCACGCGCGAACGTCACATGTTTGATTCTTTCAAGTGATGGCATCATGCGGATATTTCATATACGGCAGTAATTATGACTGTGAAGCAAGCTGGCACGGCTTCAAAGAGCAGTGGCAACAACCCTTCCCAATTGAAAGGCTGACGATGGTACGACGGGTTCGGTCTTGATGACATATTTTTGAAGCAAGCCTGCGCAATTTCAATGCGCAAGAGCACCCTCTGGAAAGATTATTGTATTACGGCCTCTGCGAGATGTCACAATGCGGAGATTTGCGTACATATTATGTGTATATGTACAATATATATATATATA